AAGCCCTCTTCTGACCTCTGAGGCATTGCACAACACGGGTGTACTCACATACATGCAGGCAATATACTCAAACAATAAAATAAAAATAATAAAAAAAATTTAACTAAAAAACTGTAAGAACTTAAAATCAAGGCACACATTACATGCTGGTGAACAATGCAGAAAGTAGTATGGACTCTTCTAAAATGAACAGAACTGTGCCATGGCCCAGACACCCACTGGTGGGTAACCATCAAAAGGAAGAATGTGGTCTTGAAAAGATACTTGCACCCCACACTCATTGCAACATTCTTCACAACAGCCAAGACAAGAAGTGACCCAAACCTCCTGATGCATTAATGGAGTCAATTTAGACCAATTAAGGAAAAGGTGGCTATAAATACTAAGGAATGCTATTTAGCCTTTGAGAAGGAAACACTATCATTTGCGTTAACAGGCTAGAACCAGAAACACTGTGCTTAGGAAACTAAGCCATACAGGAAACAACAAATACTATCCGGTACCACTTATATGACTGATACAAAACAGCTAAACACAGAACCAGACAAGTGGAATGATAGCTACAGGGCTAGGGAAACCCAAGAGATTAGTCAAAGACTAGAAAGGTTTAGGGGGCCAGCAAAATGGCTCAGTGGGTAAAGGTACTTGCCACCAAGTCTGAGGACTGTGAGTTCAATTCCCAGAACCCACATAAAGCAATGTAGCAGACCACATCTGGAATATCAGCACTCCTACAGCCAGATGGGAGGCAAATACAGGAGAATGGGCTGGATGTTGGTGGACTGAGCACAGCAGCAGAGACAAGAGACCATGCCTCAAAACCAAGTGGAAGGTGGTAGGTAAGTGACCCCAAAACTTCCCTCTGACCTCCAAGGTGCTCCATGGCACCCATGTGCCTGCACTCATACTCACTAAGTAAGTAAATATTTTAAAAACATGTTTCTAATGCCAAAAAAGATAGATTTAAAAAACGATAAGGCAAGAGGAAACTTTCTGAGGTGGATGGACTGTGGTGATGGTCTCCCGGTATATGCTTATCTCCAGCCTCATCAGGTCATACATCTAAGTGTACACAGATTTCTGTGTATCAGCTGGGCCTCAATAAAAAAGTCTGATACTACAAAAAATTACAGTGGAGGGAATTCTACTGTTTTGCATTCTATCATTTTAATCTAACTGCTCTCTTTCTAGACATCTCTGATGTCCGTTGTGATTCAGAGAGAAAACAGCCATCACATGGATGCATTTTCAACGCCTTATCTTTCTCCAGACTCTTCTCTTGTTTTTGAGACATTTCTGACTTCTGCAGCACAGAAAAGAGCAAAATGAACAGCTGTAGACTCGTCAGCTGTCACCTGTTTCTATCAGAATCATTTTAAAGGTAGTGGTAACACATTATAAAGTCACTTCTACATATTTCACCACACATCTCTTAATAAGGACATTATGTATCTATGAGCATCACTATCATTTCCACTAAAATTAATAATTCTCTAATGTTACCCAATATTCAGTCCACAGTCCAACCTCAACCTCAACCTCTGTCTTTGTCTCCCATATACCTTTTTAAAAATCCAAGATCCAACTAATGACTGTATGCTGCATTTGACTATTGTCTCTGATCTATTTAATACAGACAAGTTCTAGCCTTATTAATTTGATCCTTTCTGAACTTCTATTTCCTCCTAGTTTCGTTTTTCCTGTTTCTACTGTTAAAAAATTCTTCCCTTTTGGATTTTTAAATGTGATCTCCCCCTCCCCTCCCTTCACTGCCACTGGGGAGTTGGGGATGGGATCTCACTCACTGTCTTGTTTCTCAGGCCTCCATTGCTTGGTTAATCCACAGAATCCTATATCTGTCCTCTCATTCCAGTTCCGCTCGCTGCCGTCTCCAACGGTTTTCCAATGCCAAATCCAAAGGACATTTTCCAGGGATTGCTTTATCTGACCTCTGTGCAGCACCTGCCACTACTACCCACTCTCTCCCTCACATGCTCTCAAACCTTGGCACAATGCTCCTGCTCCCTTGCCAGAGGCTGGCCCTCTTCACAGTCGTCCTTGACCTTCTCATTCCCTCCAAGGCTTTACCCACAAGCCATTCATGATTCCCAAATCTCTCAGTCTGCAGTTCTCTACAGAGCTCAAGATCTAACCACTTATTCCTACCAAACGTGTGACCCAGACTTCCCGTTATGGAATGTCTCCATAGCTGATTATCTTTCCCTGTCAACTCATTTTTAAATTTTTTATTACACTTCATTTATTTTGTGTGTGTAACACATGGAGGTCAGTGGACAACTTTCAGAATTGGTTCTGTTCCTCTACCATGTCGGTCCCAGGGATCAAACTCAGGTCATCAGGCTTGGTGGTGAGCACCTTTACCTCCTAAGCCACCATGCAAGCCCTCTATTTCTTCTTTAAATGAAGATACTAGTCTTCCAAACTTCACAATGTTGCTTTCTGCCTCATTCCTGCCAACTGAATCATCACTAAACCTTCTTGACAGTCCTGTGTGATTCTCCTATTTGTCACCTTCTGGTTCAACAACAGCGGCACAGTCAGGCAGGGCCCTAGCCAGGTGTAGTGGAGTAGGTGAGGTGCCTGTAATCCCATCCCTCATGTGACAAAGGCAGGGGCAGGGGCAGGATGATCATCAAAAGTTTGAGACCAGCTTGGTCTATACAGTAAGCAACCAGGGCTACAGATTGAGACCTCATCTCAAAAATCTAAATAATTAAAAGCAAAACATTTCTCTTACCATCACAAAGATAATTTCCGTATTTCCAGCCCTTCTCCTAAGTCTAACCCCTACATTGTTCATAAGCTTTTTCTGTAGCATGATGGTTCAGATTAAGATTCCCTAACTTCTGCAGCACAGTCTAGCATAGGAGCTAAGGACACAGGCGCTACAGTTGGGAAGAGCTAGATGCAAACCCTAGATTCTTCTACTTACTGATCAGTCTTACAAATGTTTATTTATAAAATGGTGGTGATAGGGCAGGGCATGGTGGCACATGCCTTTAATCCCAGCACTCGGGAGGCAGAGGCAGGCGGATCTTTGTGGGTTTGAGGCCAGTCTGGTCTACATAGTTCCAGGACAGCTGGAGCTACAGGGAGACCCTGTCTCAAAAAGACAAAAAATAAATAAATAAAAATGGTGGTGATAAACCAGAAGTGGGGCACACACCTGCAATCCCAGCACTCTGAAAATGGAGTTAGGAGGATCAATTCAACGTCATCGTCAGCTACACAGCAAGTCTGAGGCTAGCCTGGGTTACATGACATCCTGTCTCAAAAAAGGGGGATAACTATATCTATTCCAATTGAGTAATATACAAAGATATATATATTTGTTCCAATAGTCAAATACTCAGTAATAACTGTTATAAGACGAAGTCCAAACTGTTTGACCTGGTCACTGCCTAGATGCTCCCTCATTTTCCACTAACCCTTCCTCATCCTCACTGTCCTGCTTTCACAGAGATGTGCTGTGAAACACAAGTTCCTCTTCCTAAAAGGCCCATCTCCCAGTGCTCTGTCCATAAATGAACTCTCTAAGCCCTAATCTGGATTTTTATACGACTCTATCACTATGAACCTGCTTCACTGTCTGCCTTCCAAACTAAACTGTATGAGTTCTTGAAAGTAAACAGATAAAATAACATCATAAAGAACTAAGAATGGACATGGACATTCATCCCAAACAAGGAACCTGAACAGGGAACTTAAGACAGGACAGAAGTGACTATTCTATTCCCAAGCTGTAACTAATGGTTAATTTATTTTGCTTTCTTTTTTTCAATATGAGGGCTTAGGTGAGAGACAGGTTTGGAAGCTAGCACATATATCTTCTTTTTGTGTTATAGAGTAAGTGAGGAGGAACAGGGACTCAAACTGGGTTGCATGAGAAAAGTTTCAAGGGGCTGAGCACCCAGCACTTGGGAGGCAGAGGCAGGTGAATCTCTGTGAGTTCGAGTCCAGCCTGGTCTACCTAGTGAGTTCCAGGAAAGGTGGGGCTACAGTGAGACCCTTTCTCAAAAAAAGACGAAAAAAGAAAAAAGGTTTCAAGGCAGGAAACCACTGACAAGGCAGTGCCTCTTTCTGGTATGCAAGTTGGGACATGTGAACTTTCAGTTAAAACTGCAAGGCAGCAAAGGTGAACTTGTATGTTTTTGGTGGGTTTTTCTTGTTTGTTTATGACAAGGTTTCATGTAGTCCAGCCTGTCCTTGAACTTACTATATGTAGTAGAAGCTGACTTTGAACTCTTTAATATTTATTATTTTTATTTTATGTGTATGAGGGTATGTAAGTTATCCATGTCATGCAATGCCCACAGAGGTCAGAAGAGGGCACTGGATCCCCCTGGAATTGGAGTTACAGACAGTGGTTAGCCACCATGTGGGTGCTGGGATCTGAACCTGGGTCTTCTGCAAGAGCACCCAATGCTATTAACCACTGAGCCACCTTTCCAGTCCCCTGAACTTGAACCCTTGATATTCCTGCTTCCACCTCCCAAGTGCTGGGATTACAGGCATTCACCACCATACCTGGCTTAGGTAATCCATCCTTCCATCCATCCTTCCTTCCTTCCTTCCTTCCCTTCCCTTCCTCCCTCCCTTCCCTTCCTCCCTCCCTTCCCTTCCTCCCTCCCTCCCTTCCTCCCTTCCTTTCTTTCTCTTTCTTTCAGTGCTGGGGACTGAGCCTAGGGCTGCATGCATGCTAGTCAAGTTCTTTGCCAACGAATCACATCCCCAGCCCTTTCATGTCGTTTTTAGAAATTGTGCAACCTCAACTTCAAGTTAAACACATGTATTGAGAAACCTGTAGAAAATTCCATAATGGGATCAAACCAGAAATCAGAAGGCTCAGAATACTAAGTAGTCTCTATTACAAAATGATTGGTGATTAAAGGAAACATTCTTCAATACCAAGGCTGCACAGGCTTTTAGACCATAAAAAGTATGGTGCAGAGATCAGGCACTAAGTTACTACATATTGTATGAAAACTGCAGTTTTCAGGTCATTCCTTGCTCTGGGTGACTCTGTTTTACAAGTAGCACCTGGCTCCATTTTGAATGAAAATGCAGAGGCAGGATGACTGCACTTCAGTGTGCATGCAGACACCACTACCTGTCCAGCCTACCTACAAGGCACAGATAATGAATAACTTACTCCTCAAAGTGAGAATGTACCACCTCTAAACTTATCAAAATAGACTGGGATCATCCCAGCACAAGGGTGCACTAAAATCGTATCAGAAAAACCATGCCCAAGAACTTATTAGACACATCTGACTGAGGAAAGGGTACAACACTGTCACTTGCAAGATGAAGACCTCCAACACTATGATGCCAACAGCTCCCACTGACCTGTCATCTAACTCCTGTGTGTGTATGTGTGTGTGTGTGTGTGTGTGTGTATAGGACTGACAGGCATAGACCCCTAACTAACCCAGGGGCTTCCACTCAGCTCTATCACCACCTGGACTCATTCCTGTCACCTCATTTCTGCAGTTCAACTCAACGTTGAGTCCTAGCTCAACTCTGTAAACCCTGAGCCAGGCTTGGCGCCTCCATCAGCTCTCCAGCTGAGTTCCGCTCAGCACCTTACTATCTCATTTACACACTACAGCCACATACATCCTTCCCCTTCAGCCTCTGAACTTGAACACTGCCGTGGCCTCTTTAACTTTTGCATAGTCACTCTGTCACCTATATAGAGGGGTATAATTACTGTTTGATGTGCAACGCATTATCTGAGATTTAATATTAGCCATGAAGATTGGAATAAAAGAACTTGTTTTTGGCAAAGTCCAGCTGTTAAGGGAAATGTCCATTATTGGCAAACCTCGGCCTATGCAACCCATGCAGCTTGTGAATTTGAATAAATCCTGACATTGTGGAAAGACAAACATGTCCCTCTGTTTCTGACACAGCATACTCCCAACCTGCAATGTTAAGTCGAACAATGCAAGGGGACACCAGGCAGGTGATTTCCTGGTACTAACAGGCAATTGCAAACAGCTCATTAACTCGGGCCAGTACTTCAAGACACAGTCTTTTTCTGGAATGGACTGCCAGGATCCTGCCCATCTATCTAATTAGGGAATCTGTCAAAAGGGAGGTCAGGCCGGACGTGGTGCATGCCTTTAACTCCAGGCCTCGGGAGACAGAGGCAGGCGGATCTCTGTGCGTTCAAGGCCAGCGTGGTCTACATAGCGAGTTCCAGGCCAGCTGGGGCTGCAGGGAGACCCTGTCTCAAAAAGACCAAAAAATATATTTTTTTAAAAAAAGGGGGAGGTCAGGACTTCCGGAAGCGGCCGTGACCCCTGCGAACCGAGTCGGAGCAAGGTCGACCTGGTTGTCCCTGTCTTCGGAGGAGCCTCGCAGAGACGTCTGCAAGGGAGTCCGCCCCGAGAGAGCTGCGGGTCAGCAAGACGCCAGAGGCTGCGGGCGCGAAGGTCAAAGGCGGCGGCAGCGGCGAGGAAGGGCGGCGCGAGGTGGTGGCGGGCTGCCTCCCCCCTCCCGGCCTCGGGCCCCAGTCACTCACACGCGAGCCCGCGCCCCCCTCGAGCTCCTCCCGCCTCGGGACTGCCGGGCGAGGAGGATGGGCCGGCCACTTCCTGTTTCCGGAAGCGAGACCCGGAAGCGACTCGGGAGCCCGTATAAAGGGCAGCTTCCCTCTCCAACGTCATGCTCCCAAACAGTGCCTCCGGCACTCTCGCGAGATGTGGAACAGTTGCGTTCTTGCGCCCCCTGGCGTCTACTTCCCGGTACTGCGTCTTCTCGGCCCACTGTAGGGTACCTGGTTTCTGCCTTGAACTCAAGTTTCATAACTGATCTGCTTCGTCAACAAACGTTTATTAAGCCTTTTACTACTTTGGGGGCGGGCGGGGGAGTCCATAAACAAAGAGCAACTCTTTTCTTCTGGGAGCTCCTAGTTTGAGAGAAAGACGACTGAAATATACAATTGGCCACTCTGAATTTATTGAGCGCTGACTCTGACTATGCATTCATTAAACAGCTTCAACAACTCTATTAAAACAAATATTCCCACAACACTTAACCTTGTCCAGCCAAACGGGAGGTTTATTGAGATGGTTAGCTGCTGGAGATTCCTCTCACAGATAGTGGTAGGTCAGTATTTTGAACCCAGATCCCTCATTCCTTAGGTGGGTGTTGTACAGAATTCTTAATTGCTTTCTTCATGGGACCTGCAGGCAAGATACTGCTGGGCTTAGACCTTACAGCTACAACTACAAAGCTACCGTGATGTAGGCAAACCAGAGAGACAGAATAGAGACCCTCAAAGCACAGCCATGTCTGTGTGGATGCTTGAGTTTCAACAGTGGCTCTGCTGGGCATGGTGCCGCATGCCTTTAATCCCTGCTCTCAGAGGCAGGCGGATCTCTGAGTTTGTGACCAGCCTGGCAAATGAATAAATATTGGCAAACTGTGGCCAATATTTTCTATTTATTTGCCAATAAATATATAGCTAGATAGTAAGTTCCAGGCCATCTGGGGCTACATAGTGAGACCCAGTCTCAAAAAAAAAAGCTGCTCATAACACATGCCCTTAATCCCAGTACTTGGGGAGACAGAGGTAGATGAATCTCTGTGCGTTTGAGGCCAGCCTGGTCTAGTGAGACCCTGTCTCATAAAAAACCAAACAGAAAATAATGGTTCTGGGTTCATTGTAATATCCACAGCGCAAAGAATTGAATTTGATACTGGTACTGGAGAGATAGCTGAGTCAGTAAAGTGCTTGCCACAGAAGCATAAGGATCTGAGTTCTATTCCCAGGACCCACAAAAGAGCTGAAGAGTGGTGAGGTGCATAATCCAACAGTGGCCTCTGACCTACACAACACACACACCCCCAAAACTAAAATAATAAACTGAACCACTGCCTCACACCATACTCCAAAATAAGTACTAAGTACACTGTGGCTCTATATGAGAAAAACACAGCTTTAGGGCTGCTCCACCCAATTCCATCACCATGCAAGTAATTTGATCATCTGAAGTGTGAATGTTAGAGTGAGATGTTCTATGAGAAAGCTGAAGAGCTGGACTACATTAAAGTTCCAATTGTCAAAGGTCACAGTTAAGGGTATTGGGCTACTGCTCAGGGTGGTCCCTACCTAAGGACACATACTGCTCAGATAGCATCAAATAAAAATCAAAAGGCCAGCCCAGGCTCAGTATCTCCAGTACCTAGCAAGTACCCTGGAATGGTGATGTTTCCACACCAGGACCCCAGCACGTTATTATGTACAAAGATGTGACCCTGTATTTAACAAGGATAGAATGGAGTTGCCTGGCCCTGACCAGTAGGTACTCTATGCTGTAGCAATGTGAAATGGCCTCCCTGGTCTTTCTTTCCCCACAACACAAAAATCTCCTTCGTGGAGCAAAGAGAAGAGCCTGTCTGGGTCGTACACATAAATTCAAGGACAAAGGCTGGGACTGTCAGCTGGGAAGGGACAGAAGTACAGCTCTGCACTGTCACTCTGCAGCCTGAGGGTTGTCTCCTGAGTCAGGCAAATCTAGGATTCAGGTTTCAATGCAGAAAAGAATTTCAGCCAGTTTGAAACAGAGATGCAAATGTTATTAAAAAATATTGGGGCTGGGGAGATGGCTCAGCAGTTAAGAGCACTGGTTGACCTTGCAGAAGACCCGGGTTCAAATCCCAGCACCCACATGGCAGCTAACAACTGTCCCTAATTCCAGTTCTAGGGGATCCAACAGCCTCTTCTGTCCTCCGCAGGCATTGCATGACACGGGTGCACCTTCCTACATGCAGGCAATGCACGCATACACATGAAATAAAAATAATAAATATTTTTTAAAATATTGTAAATATTTATTAATCTTTGTGTGTGTTTTAAGTGGCACACAATCTGTCTAGGGGCGTGGTTAGGGTCCTTTTCTCAGCCAATAAAATAATTAAAAGGCAGAAAAAGCTCAGAGCAGCAGAGAGCAATAGGCAAGTCAACATTTATTGATAATCATATCCATAAACATAAAAAAATCACACACACACACACACATTCATGCAGAAAGATGAAGCTCTCCACAAGTGGAAAGGGGACCTAGAAACAAAAATCCACTGTCTCCCAGGGAGAATTTGGGATTTAAGGGTTTTAGTGGATTCCCCTCCCCTAATTTTGGATTGGTCAATTTAAACAAAGAAGAGGAGGCTGATAGGTCACATCTCCAAGCTGAGATACCCAGGGCTATGTAACTCTAAGTAAGTCAGTTGAAGGGGCCATGCTAGAATTAAAAAAATAAGACCTTCCTTCCAGTCAGACCAAGAAGTGGGAAGTGTGCCATTTTTATTTATTCTCAGTGACTTTGTCAGGGTCTGTTACACATGGATGAGTTTTTTGCCTGCATATATATGTGCACCCATGCAATACCCGAGAAAGCCAAAAGAGGGCATTGGATCATCTGAACTGGAGGTAGAGACGGTTGTTAGCCACTGTGTGGGTGCTGGGAACTGAACCCAGGTCCTCTGCAACAACAGCCAGTTCTCTTAACCATTGAGCCATATCTCCATAAAATGTAAGGAAATTTTTAAAAGGAGAGAAAAGGGGATTGATATAGACATGACGGGTATAGACATATAGGTCTCTATATATCTAATCTATATATAGATGTATAGATTGATATAAATGTGAAGAGGAGAGATGTTTCCTGAAGGATCTAGGGCAAAGGGAAGACCTGGGCGGCTCTGCAGGGAGAAGGAATAGCTGTGGCAAAGGCCTGGGGTTGGGATGTTGGTGGCTTGTTAAGGACATAGACAGCAAGGTAGGAAAATCAGTCCAGAGAGGCCAGTGGTGAAGGACCTTCAAGCTGCAGTCAAGTGATTAAGGGCTTTGATAGGCAAAAAGACATTCTGAGTCAAAATGACCCAGTACAAGATATCTAAGAAGGTTTTTGAGGACTGAGTGTGGATTCATGGGAGAAAGTCGGAGCTTTACTAACAGGCATTTATTTACTCAGAAGATATATCAGGCTCACATACAGAATAAATGAAGTAAGTATAAGCTACCATGACTTGAGTGACACCTATAAGTTATAACTCAGGAAAGGGAATCCAGGACTCTGTCAACCCCCTTAGTCACTGACACCCAGTGTTCTCTTAGGGACAAAAAGACAAACAACAAAAGCCTGTGGGATGAAGACAGCAAAACACTGTCTTTTTTTCCCCCCCCTCTTGAAACATGGTATCACTAGGTAGCCCAGGCTGGTCTGGAACTCATGATCTGTGCCCCACTCAAAATAGTCTTAATTCCCATATTAAAAACCCAATGAATCTTCACTATACTGGTTGGTTTTTGTCCACTTGACCCAAACTAGTCACCTAGGAATAGGGAACCAGATCAGATAGGTCTGTGGCCATGTCTTCTTAACTGCTAGTTGATGTGGGAGGGACCAGCTCACTGTAGGTGGTGCCATCCCTAGGCAGGTGGGCCTGGGCTGAAAGGTAACTGAGCAAGCCAGGGGAAGCAAGCCAGTAAGCAGCATTCCTCCATGGTCTCTGCTTCAGCTCCTACCTCGCTTCCCCTGTTGATGGCCTATTAGCTGTCAGGTGAAGTAAACCTTTTCCTCCCCAAATTGCTTTTGGTCATGGTGTTTTATCAAAGCAACAGAAAAGCAAATTAGGACACTCACTGTGCCTTAACTTTCCCAGGATAGACAGTAACAAATACATAAGTTGAAGAGAGCAGCCAGTCAGACAGAGACAGATGACACCTCTCCTTGTGGCATTGTTAAACTTCTGTTAAATTCACTGCTAGTGTTAGATAACTTCTTTCAGTCTCACTGTAAGAACTCCTGATGTTTATTTTCTTGTACATGGGCAAAGATGTTGGGAATGGGGCCATCTGGCTGCCTAATGGGCAGTTCTTGGAATCTCTTTGCCACAACTGCTTTGAACAAAAGGGAGACCACCCCTATGCCAAAATGGGCCATTTGAAGGCTCCATGGATACTGTCCTAGTTTGTTTCTTCATTGCTGTGACAAAATATTCTGACCACTACCAACTTGGGGAGGAAAGGGTTTATTTATCTTACATCTCCTGGGTCATAGTTCATCCGGGAGCCCAAGGTAGGAACTCAGGGCAGGCACCTGGAGGCAGGAGCTGGAGCACAGGCCATGGAGGAACGCTGTTTACTGGCTTGCTCCCCTTCTCTGACTCTGACGTCCACAACACACACAGCTTGTCTCTTAGACCCCAGCCAGCTCCACTCCATACCTACTGCTGTCCTCAGTGGTCATCCCATGGTGCTGGCATCTCCAAAAATCTGGGGTCTCCACTGAAACTGAGGCTACACCTTCACCAATGGTCTCTTCTTGCCTCTTGGGGTGCAAAGCCTCAGATTCTCTCCATGACCCCTTCAGTCCTGGGGTCTTCACTGCAACTGAAGCTGCACTTTCACCTATGGCCTTTCCTGGCCTCTCACAGTGCCAAGTCTCAGCTGCTCTCTGTGACCCCTTCACGCTTTAAACACCAGAACCATGCAGGAGACTCTTACACATTACTAAGTCCTGCTTCCAGCTAGAGACGGAGGTTCGGGTCCCCTCTGTGTGCTGATCCCGGGGAAATACCTCCCAGAAGATTTCACCACAGTGATGCTGGCTACAGCTGGTTTTTCAGCCCCAGCTAACCAGCATCAATTGTCCCAGTAAAGCAAAGGTTTTACTTCAGGTTCTGGTATCTTCTTAATCACAACTGATTCTTCAGCCCCAGCCAACCCTAACCCAAAGATCTCAATTCACAACATCATACAAACAGCCCTGATAGTCTTTGCTTCCCTTTGAAGCTTCACAAGCCAGGCCTCCATCATCTACAACTCTTTCAACATAACTGTTCCAAGCTCCACAGCAACAAACTTTAAGTACTCAATGGCTTTCCTGCTCAAAGTTCTGAACACTTCCATGATCCTCCTAAAAACACCAAGATCAGGTCTGTCACAGCAATACCCCCCTCTTTTTTTTTTTTTTTTTTTTTTTTTTTTTTTTTTTTTTTTTCTAAAAAAAAAAAGAGGACGATAAATCTTTCACTGTGATATATCAAAATAACTAGCTGATATTTTGGAATTTGTCAGACCTTCAGCACCAGATTGGGACTACTGAGACATCCAGCCTCGTGGACTGAGCGACTACAGATTCTCAGCCTCTCCAGTGTGGTGCAGCCATTGTTGGACTACTTGGACTCTATCTTGTGAGCTAAGCTGATAAATCCTTACACATATATATTCATTCTACCAGTTCTGTTTCTTTGGAGAACCCTGACTAATACAGATACCTTGAGGGAAATATATCACCATACAACTGCTTGCTCTGGCTCAACCAGGACTACTTGAAACAATTTTACCAGACTTTTGCTATCAAAACCCTCAGAAAAGTTTGGATAACCCTGTGATCATTTCCATGCAGATCAGAGGGGGCATGCTTCTGGTAGCCTAGCTGAGGGACTGTGGTAGCTGGTGTACTGTAAACTGGTGTGAACCTTCATGTGCATGGGATGTTTGTTGTGACTGGTACATCACCCTTTCTGCCTATACAAGCATTTGGCCAGCCACCTAGGAACTTCCCTCCTGTCCTGCCTCCCTGCAGTGTTGCACCATTAGGCCCAAAGAAAGGATTCTTTCAAGCAGTTTTGTCTACTTTTAGTAGAGTGGGCTACTAAAGAATGAAACAACAGCAGGAGAGTGGCCAGTACTCTGAGCTGCAGGACCAGGTAAAGAAGAGGTGGAGCTGCGTGATTGGCAGGCCAAGCTACTAAAACAGCAAGACAGCTGGCTGCCTAACCAGAGGAAGAGGAAGAGTCACAAGGCCAGCGGCAGAAGAAACACTAACCAAAAAAAAAAAAAAGTAGCAGCTTCAACTATGACAGTGGCCACAGCAACAAGAGGCAGCTGGAAAGTTTGAGAGGGCAGCCTGGGTAACAGGAAGGACAGAAGTAGAGAAAGAGGGCACAGAACTGAGATGGAAGGATGGAGGACTGGGAAGAGACGGCAGGCCCTGGCACTGAGAGAATTCCAAGGAGCTGTCAGATCTTTAGGGCCAAGAGTTTCAGCTGTTCCAGGCTTGGAAGCTGTAACACGGTCACCATCTTCCTAGGCCTATGCAGGAGATGCATCTCTTATAGAGATAAGGGTTCTGTTAGCTGAGGCCTACATGGGTAAATTCTTACACTGGAGCGTGTCATGTGCTGCTCCTGCTTGCCCACTGCTGCCTCTGCTGTCAGACTCAGAGGGCTATAAAAGCTGGAAAAGGGGCTGGAGAGATGGCTTAGTGGTTAAGAGCACTGGCTGCTCTTGCACAGGACCTGGATTCGATTCCCAGCACCCACATGGCAGCTAACAACCATCTAGAACTCCAGTTCCAGAGGATCTGATGCCCTCTTCTAACCTCCAAGAGCATTGCATAACATGGCTGCACTTACCATCATGCAGGCAATACACTCATACCCCCCAAAATAAAAATATTTTAAAAGCTGGAAAAGACCATCATCTGAAGAGCTTCTCCGTATTTACACACAAGATTTCTATCTGGGTAAACTGAGCAAAAAGACTCCAGCCAGCTGATTGGTCGATATTGTATCTGTTGTTTTGTTATTACATTACTACTTTCCCTTCCAGCTTCTGGGTCATGACATAGGCACAAACAGGAGTCTGCGGGAGTTGTAAAGTTTATTATTCTTTACATTGGCTCAGTACTCATTCATTTAAAGTGCAGTTTAGGGGCTGGAGAGATGGTTCTGTGATTAGGAAATGTTCTAGTTTGCATTCAATTGCTGTGATTAAAAACACTGACCAAAACCAACTTGATACAGAAAAGGTTTCTTTTATTTTACATTTCCCAGGTTACAGTCATCACTGAGGAAACTCAGGGCAGGAACCTGGAGGCAGGAGCTGAAGCAAAGACCATGGAGGAATGCTGCTTACTGGCTTGCTCCCCCAATCTGTGCTTCAGCTCCTGCCTCCAGGTTCCTGCCCTGAGTTCCTGCCTTGGCTTCCCTTGATGATGGCCTGTGCTGTAAACCAAATCCTTTCTTCCCCAAGCTGGTATTGGTCAGAGGGTTTTGTCACAGCAATAAGAAAGAAACTAAAACAGGAACACTTGCTGTTCTCACAGAGGACATGGATTCAGTTCCCAACCCCCTCATGTTGGTTCACAACTATCTGTAACTCCAGTTCCAGGGGGTCTGGCCTCCATTGGCACTAAATGCACATGATACACACACAGAGGCAAATACTTATACACAAAATAAAAATACATCTTTGAAGTATAGTTTCGTATCAATTATTCGTTCAGTAAAACCTGAGCACAGGGTATGAGGAGGACATGGAAGGAGGAGGTGCAGGTTTTCTCTCAAGGAGCTTCCTGTCTGGTTTATTTTCACTAGCTTGTACACTCTTGTTTGGGCTTAACAAAAAAGGATGTGGGTTTGAACAGTGATTATGAGCACATGCACGTCAGCTGTGGCAAGGCAGTTGTTCTCTACAATACAGGCCTTTCTCAAACTAAAAAGAAAAGGGTAGGATCTACCCGTGGAGTTTTGAAAGTTAAACCTACACAATAAAGTTCTGAGTCTGATCCCTAGCACATAGGACGCACTCACTCAGTCACTGTTAAGTGATGGGCATGGCACTTAAAATACTGGTTCTTAAGCCAGGTGTGGTGGCGCACACCTTTAATCCCAGCACTTGGGAGGCAGAGGCAGGCGGATTGTTGTGAGTTCAAGGCCGGCCTGGTCTACATAGTGAGTTCAGGTCAGCTGGGGACTACAGGGAGACCCTGGCTCAAAAAGACAAAAAAAAATACTGGTTCTTTCTAAAAAAAAATATGTGTATGAATGTTCTAGCCTGCATATATGTAAGTACACCTGTGTCATGTAATACCCACAAAGGTCAGATCCCCTGGAACTGGAGTTAAGGATTACAGAGGGTTGTTAGCAACCACGAGGGTACTGGCAACCAAATCCAGGTCCTCTGCAAGAGCAGCAAGTGCTCTTAATACTGAGCCATCTCTCCAGCCCCAATACCAGTTCCTATTGACAGATTTTGTTTTAAATTTATTTGTTCTAAAATTTTATTTACTTTAATTTTATATGTATCAGTGTATTGCCTGAATGCATGTAAGTGCACCGCTGTCATGCAGTGCCTGTGGAGGACAGAAGAGGCTGTCAGATCCCCTGGAACTGGAGTTATGGATGGTTGTTTGCCATGTGATTGCTAGGATTCAAACCCAGGTCCCCTGGAAGACCATCCAGTGCTCTTAATTGCTGAGCCATATCTCTAGCCCCTAAAATTATTATCTGTGCATGAGTCTTTTGGCTGAACGCATGTAAGTGCACCTGTGTCATATAATGCTGGCAGAAGCTGGAAAGGGCGTCTATCTCCTGGAACTGGAGTTATGGATGGTTGTTTGCTGCCATGTGAAGGCAGGGAACTAAACCCACGTCCTCTGCAAGAACAGCCAGGGCACTTAACCACCTTCCATCTCACCAGCCCTGGGTTTTGTTTTGTTTTTGGAGACAGGGTTTCACTATGTAGCCTTGGCTGGCCTAGAACTCAGTATGTAGATCAGGCTAGCCTTGAACTCTCAGAGATCCTCCTGCCGCTGGCTCCCTGGGATTAAAGGCATGAGCCACCACACCTGTTCTTTCATGCAGTGTTGCTGACGAAACCCAAGGCCTTGTGCGTGCTGAGCAAGCGCTCCACCCACTAGGCGACATCCCCAGTCCGGATACTAGCTTACTTATTCCACCTCATTCTCGTCGGCCTTCTAAACCTCTCAGGTCCTTTTCTTGGCTTCCTTTGTCACCCCACGCAACGCTTCTTAGCAACTTTGGCGCGCCAACCTACCCAGGCCTGGCCTCCAACTCACAAAGATCCGCCTGCCTCTGCTTCCCAAGTGCTGGGATTAAAGGCGTGCGCCACCCTAAACCTTTTGATTTGCATCCTCCAGTCTTTTTCCCTGCTTGCTTTTTCTTTCTCGTCTTTGGCATCCGGAGGCTCGGATCTGCCCTATGGCATTTAGCTATTTCCACATGTGAAAAATGGGAATAGTGCTAGCTACAGAATCACTTTGTGGAGGAGCTGAAATAAAGTGCAAGCGCTCTAAGGGATCTTGCACTTGTCTGGGTCCTTGAACCCGAGGTCTAGCCTCGTACCCCACATCCCAGGCTCGGAAGAAAGAACCTTCCTCTCTCTCCCCGGTACTCAAGCGCTGCAAATCCGGCGCCTAGCGGTAGGCCAGGCAGGAACCGGAAGTGTGCGCATCAGGGGCGGGGCCCCAGGAAAGCACCGCCGGAAGTGGCGATTGCGAGGGGCAGATTCCTCCGGCTCGGCATGGCGGCGATTCCCCCCGACTCCTGGCAGCCGCCCAACGTCTACCTGGAGACCAGGTGAGTGAGGGGTCGGGTCCCGGGGGTGGACCGGCCGAGGCGACGTGGGGGCGACTGACAGGGGCCGGCCTGAGCCGCACGTGCACGGTGCAGAGCTGCGGCCGCGAGTACCAGGGAGTTCCGAGCCCACCCCAGCGGAGCCCAGGCCGGATCGCGGGGGACCCCGGCGACCGCAGGCTTCAGTCCTTCCTCCACCTGGTTCACTCGTTCAGCCAGCCAGCCAGCCCCCTCATTTATTCATTCGTTCGTTCGTTCATTCGTTCACTCATTCATTCACTCATTCAACGAGCCAAGCACGTAAGATCAGGAATCAGAGGACGCAGGTTGATAAAACAATATACTGAAGGACACATGTGTAAACACGGGTTAGCTAGGACGGCCGTCTGAACAAATTACTGTGAAAGCACAGGGCGAACTATGTTCCCTACCATCCAAAGCTGACCTATGGGGCTGAGGCGGGACAGACAGCCCATGAAGGCAAGACCAGCTGCGGCTGTGTAGTGAGAGCAAAGCCAGCTTGACCTACAGACTGGGTATATAACTCAGTCGGTAGAGTGCTTGTCTAATATGCATGAAGTCCTGGGTTTGATCCCCAGCACAGCATAAACCTAAGTGGTGGCCCATGCCTGTAATCTCAGCATTCCAGATGTGGGCCCGGGAGAATCAGAAGTTCAGGGTCGTCCTTGTCTATGCAGTGAGTTTGGAGCCGGGTAAGACAGTGCTACATGAAACCCTATTTCAAGAAATCTAGGGTCTGGAGAGATGACTCAGTGGTTAAGAGTACTTACTGACTGCTCTTGCAGAGGAGCCAGGTTCAGTTCCTAGTACCCACATGGCAGGTAACAACAGTCCAGTTCTGACCTCCATGGGCATTGCATGACACTGGTGGACTTACATACATGCAGGTAGTGTACCCACATGGCAGGTAACAACAGTCCAGTTCTGACCTCCATGGGCATTGCATGACACTGGTGGACTTACATACATGCAGGTAGTACGCTCATACACATAAAATAATAACTATTAAAGAAAAGAGCCGGGCATGGTGGCACACACCTGTAGTCCCAGCACTTGGGAGGCAGAGGCAGGCGAATCCCTGTGAGTTTAAGGCCAGCCTGGTCTACATAGTGAGTTCCAGGACAACTGGGGCTACAGCAGGGAGACCCTGCTTCAAAAAGACAAAAAAAGAAAGAAAGGAAGAAAAGAAGTCTAGTTATAATTAAACTCCAACCTGCTAGTGCCTCTGTTGTATACCATTACATTTAGTTTAATCTTGTTAGCAGCTCCTATCCACCCAGTTTTAGTAGGGGAAAAGCCAGATTTTACAGATGAGAGGCTTGACCAGAGTTACACAGTAAGTGGAGGGAACTTTGCTTAGAAGTCTGGTCATCCTGCCCACATGGCTTCAGCCCCATTCATTCCTAGCTCAAAATTAACTTTCTGAAGCAGGGCAGGGGATGCTATTCAAAAATTTTAAATAGTTTCTTGCCACTATAATAATACAAAGTTAAAACTTTCTGGTTGGCATTTAAGGTGATTTTTTTTTTTTTTCCTCCAATCTGGCCCTTGCCATCAGCAGGCAGGGCCAGCCAAGGCCTCTGCCTCTCTGTGTTCTTGTCTCAGCCAGAGCCAGAGTTCACAGACCCTCATTCTGTCCTTCCTCTTGGGCCAACTTCATTTTATATGACAAAGTTTCACTCCTTTAAGCCCCAGCATGTAATTTTTAAATGCCCTCATTAGTATTTTTTTTAATTACATGAATTTGTGTGTGTCTGTGTGTGCATGTGCACATATGTGCATGCCACTGCACAAGTGTGGACATCAGAGAACGACTTGAGAGTCAGTTCTCTCCTTCCCACACATGTATGGAAATCAGATGAGAGCTTGCTGCAGTCTGTTCTCTCTTTTACCATGTGGGACCCCAGGATTGAACTCAGGTCTCCAGGCTTGGCCACGGGTGCCTTTTCCCACCGAGCCATCTCCTAGCCCTTATTAGTATTTCTTAGTCATAAAATATGTTGAAAGTTAACTCTATGCACTGTAAAGCTGTACTGTGAGATAAAGTACTTCCCTCCCTAAAAACACTATTACAGTTTGTTGGTGCCTGTCCAATTCTTTTTCTACATATGTCTGTTTTATCTCTTAACAAATTTGGAGTATGTTTTTTTTTCTGTAACTTTTTATTATTTTTAATTTATGAGTGTATTGCCTGCATGTGTGTAAGTACACCCCTGTTGTGCAATGCCCGAAGAGGTCCGACGAGGGTGCTGGAGTCCCCTGAAACTGGAATTATGAATGGTTGTTAGCTGCCATGTGGGTGCTGGGAATCAAACCCGAGTCCTCTGAAAGGGCAGTCATAACCACAGAGCCATCTTTCCAGCCCTTTTCCGTAACTTAAAAAATATATATTTATTTTTATTTTATGTGTATGAGTGTATTGCCTGCATATATGTAAATGCATCTGTGTTGTGCAGTGTCCTCAGAGGTCAGTAGAAGGTGTCAGATCCCCTGGAACTGGAGTTACAGGTGGTTGTTAGCCACCATGTGGGTGCTAGGAATTGAACCCAGATTCTCTGGAAGAGCCAGTGCTCTTAACTGCTGAGCAAGCTCTCTAACCCCTGTAACTTACTTTTTTCACTCAGTAACAACACACAGCTGTCCATAGTATGATAGCTCCTATGTTATTTCCTCTTTCAAATTTATTTTTCTGTGTATGAGTATATTGCCTGCATGTATGTAAGTGTACTCCTGTTGTGCTCTGCCTGTGGAGGTCAGAAGAAGGCATCGGATCCCATGGAATTGGAGTTGTGGACAGTTGTTAAGTTCAAATTTATTTTTCTGTGTATGAGTATATTGCCTGCATGTATGTAAGTGTACTCCTGTTGTGCTCTGCCTGTGGAGGTCAGAAGAAGGCATCGGATCCCATGGAATTGGAGTTGTGGACAGTTGTTGGCTGCTGTGTGGGTGCTGGGAATCGAACCTGGATCCTCTGCAAGAGCAGCCAGTGTTCTTAACTGCTGAGCCATCTCCAGCCCTGTTATTTCCTTTTACAAGGACATTAA